GCTTGTTAAGTATTTTCAATATACCCTCTGCAAGGGGTGTGTGTGACCTGCTCCTTCTAGAATGCCAGCATAAGGAGGCAGAAGTAGGGGCAGCTTGTTCCCTAGCCTGGCAAGGACCTAGTAATGAATCCCCTCAATTCATTTTCTGGACTCTCGTTACAGGAATAGATGCAAAGTGCAGTAATAGAAGGTTATACAAGAGCAAGAGATGAGGGCCAAGGACAGGTGGGCTTTCACTCACAGTACTGTGTGTTTGCACAGTATTTTAGTATTTGTGTGCTTTCATATACATTATCTTATTCCCACAAGGAGATGATTGTGGCCAAGTAGGAAATGCCTTCATGACAGATCAGAAGACCTGGATTTAGGTCCTGATTCTACATGTCACTATCATATAAACTTATTCAAGTGGCTTCTTTTTTTTTTAATATTTTATTTATTTGTTTGACAGAGAGAGACATAGCAATAGAGGGAACACAAGCAGGGGAGTGGGAGAGGGAGAAGCAGGCTTCCCGCGGAGCAGGGAGCCGGATGCAGGGCTTGATCCCAGAACCCTGGGATCATGACCTGAGCTGAAATGAAGGCAGACACTTAACGAATGAGCCACCCAGGTGCCCCTCAAGTTACTTCTTTTTATTTTTTAAGATTTATTTATTTATTTGAGAGAGAAAGAGAGAGTACAAGCGGTGGGAGGGGCAGAGGGAGAAGGAGAGAAAGAATCTCCAGTGGGATCCCAATGCAGGGCTGGATCTCTTGACCCTGAGATCATCACCTGAGCCAAACTCAAGAGTCGGCTTACCCGACTGAGCCACCCAGGTGCCCCTCAAGTTACTTTACTTTTGACCTCTAGTTTCTACAGATGTAGAAATGGGGATAAAAAAGCCTAGTTCGTTGGGTTGTTATAGAGGTTAAATTGAACTAATTTTCAACAAATGTGTATTGATCAATAACCATGTATCAGCCATTATCAGAAAGATTGGGGTTCTGGAGCAGAGTAAGACACCACCTCTGCTTCAGGAACCTTTGGTTTAGTGGAATGAGTCCCAGGACCTTCACTCCTCCCCTGTCGGGCACCTGGGGGGCAAAAGGAACGTTCTAATAAGTGCAAAACCCTTCTGTGCAAGAACTCAGAGAAGAGATGTGTGTCCTGGGGGGTCAAAACCACAAATGTGTGACACCAGCAGTTTTGCCGGGGACAGTCCTGGTTTACAACTACCGTCCTAACATCTAAACTCGGGGCTGGTCAAACAAATTCCATCTGTATTTAGGTCCCTGGTTTTTGATCCCTGGATTCCTGTCTGACAATAGGGCCCTATGCACCCTGTTGCTCTCCCATCCTCTCATTTCCCAAAGCCCCGTGTGTGTGTGTGCCCTGTTTAGAAGTTCCAACATGAGCTAAGCACCAAGTGGGTGCTGAATACCTTGAGTACAGGGGCCCACGTGCTTCTTGGGAATATCCTCCAAAACCCCATGTTAGATCTGCGCATTCGCAACTCCAAGCTCTTCTGGAGGGCACTGGCCGTGCTGCAGGTAGGCGGTGATGGGACGTGGCTGGCTGGGGCTTGGCCTCCTGCCTGGGCTGCCACGGAGCTATGGATGTGGGTGGGGGCTAAGGACTGACTTTCCTCCTGCTGTTGCCTTATTGGGATCATCCTCTCCTCTAGGGAATGCATGTGCATGCTTGGGGCATGCCTATGAGATTATAACTATCAGACAGTTCTTTCAGTTACAAGTATGGGACAGACACCTAGTTCATTCTGGTTTAAGCTAAACAAGGCACGTGACTAGTTCACGTAACAGGGGTCCCAGGATAGCCAGATCCCAGTACTCTAAACAATGTACTCTAGAGAATGTCAGCCTTGAACTTTCTTTTATGTTGCTCTCCTTCTCAGGCAGCTTTTCTCCAATAGGTGGCAAACTGGGCCCCAGCAGTGCCGGCCCTGCATCCTACCAATTTAGCAACCCGGATGGAAGGAGAGTTTATCTGTGCCTGTGATTCCCATGCATGCCTGGGAGGAAGG